AAGTGGTGCTGTGGCTCAAGTGGTAGAGCGCTAGCCTTGAGCTGAAGAGCTGAGGGACAGTGCCCAGGCCCAGAGTTCAGGCCCCACAACTGGACCCCCCCCAAAAAAATAACCTATAAACAATTTGGAATTATTTAATTTATGGTATACTTAGAAATATAGTAGCATTTAAATTTTCTTTTCTTTTCTTTTCTTTTTTGGTCAGTTGTGGGGCTTGACCTCAGGGCCTGGGCACTGTCCCTGAGCTCTTTCACTCAAGGCTAGCACTCCACCACTTTAAGCCACAGCTTCACTTCTAATTTTCTGGTGGTTAATTGGAGACCAGAATCTCATGGACTTTCTTGCCCAGGCTGGCTTTAAATTACAATCCTCAGATCTCAGCCTCCTGAGTAGCTAGGATAACAGGCATGAGCAACTAGCACTTAGCCTAAAAATTCTCTTTATAGAGTATTTTAAATTATGTTAAAGCCTGGCATGGTGATGTCTGCTTGTAATCCCAACACTTGGGAAGCTAAAGCAAGATGTCAAGTTCGAGGCCAGCCTAGGCTGTTACAGAGAAAAGTCTTTCCTCAACTACTCTCCTGTTCCCCAAAACTACAGAAACTCCTATAAGAAGTTAAATGACAAAATTCAAAATTATATCCATGTAGGGGCTGGGAAGGTGGCTCAGTGGTGGAGTGCTTGCCTTACATGCATGAGGCCCTGGGTTCGATTCCTCAGCACCACATAAGCAGAAAAAGCCGGAAGTGGGGCTGCCGCTCAAGTGGTAGAGTGCTAGCCTTCAGCTGAAGACCTGAGGGACAGTGCCCAGGCCCAGCTTTCAGGCCCCACAACCGACCAAAAAAAAAAAATTATATCCATGTAGTATTAACACTGAAAAGCATTATAGCCGGGCACTGGTGGTACATGCTTGTAATCCCATCTACTCAGGAGGCTGAGATGTGAGGATCACAGTTCAAAGCCAGCTGGGGCAGGAAAGTCTGTGAGACTCTTATCTCTAATAAACCACTAGAAAACCGGAAGTGGCGCTGTGGCTCAAGTGGTAGAGCACTCACCTTGAGCTTAAGAGCTGAGGGACAGCGCCCAGACCCAAAGTTCAAGCCCCACAATCGACCAAAAAAAAAAAAAAAGAGGGGCTGGGAAGGTGGCTCAGTGGTAGAGTGCTTGCCTTGCATGCATGAGGCCCTGGGTTGGATTCCTCAGCTCCACATAAGCAGAAAAAGCTGGAAGTGGTGCTGTGGCTCAAGTGTAGAGCACTAGCCTTGAGCTGAAGAGCTGAGGGACAGTGCCCAGGCCCAGAGTTCAGGCACCATGACTGGCAAAAAAAAAAAAGAAAGAAAGAAAGAAAAGAAAAGCAAGAAAGAAAGAAAGAAAAGCATTATAATATACACATAAAACTTCCATTAACCTGCTTGTTTATGCTTATCACAAGAAAACAACTAGCTGGATTTGGAAGGTTTTATGTGGGTTGGTCTGACCTAAAATGCAGGTTTTAGGGTACAAAATAATTTTTCTGACTGCTATAGAATTAGCCAATAAGCCATGCACCGGTGGCTCATACCTGTAATGCTAGCTACTCAGGAGGCTGAGATCTGAGGATCGCAGTTCAAAGTCAGCCAGGCAGAAAAGTCCATGAGAATCTTACCTCCAATAAAAAGTCAGAAGTGGTACTGTGGCTTAAAGTGGTAGAGCACTAGCCTTGAGTACAAAGAGGCTCAGGGACAGCACCCAGGCACCCAGAGCCCAGTTCAAGACCCACAACTGGCAAAAAAAAAAAAAAAAAAAGGAAGGGGGCCCTACAAGGAAACATCCTAAAATGCTGGCAGTGGCTTTCTAAGTAGAGTTATCCTACACCTGCATTAATATGGTAGTCACTGGACATATGAAGCTGTTTACATTTAATTACATTTTAAATTCTTTCCTTTGATTATACTAGTTACATTTCAGGGTCTCAGCAACAATAGCAAGTAGCTAGCAAATTGGACAATAAAGATCTATAACACTTCCATCACAATATAAAGTTATTTGGGACATAGCTATTCTAGACATACATTTTTCTGGAAGGTTTTTTTTTTGTTTGTTTTTTGGCGTGGGGAGGAGGAAGTTGTTATTGTTGTTGTTGAAACTTGAACTCAGAGCTTGGGCCCTGTCCCTTAGTTTCTCCATTCAAGGCTGGTGCTCTACTACTTGAGCCCAGCTTCATTTCTGGCTTTTTGCTATTTAATTGGAGATAAGAGCATCGGGGACAGTCTTTTAAATTATGATTCTTTAGATCTCAGCCTCCTGAGTAGCTAGGATTACAGATGTGAGCCACTGGCACCCAGCTTAGACTTACATTTTTTTTTTCTTCAGGCTTTTCCTAAATTTATTACAATATTCATTGTAGTGGATTTCTCTTATAAATAAAAAATAAACATGACCAAAAAAAAAAGAAAGAAAATGAGGTTAACAGAAGAAATATTCACACTAGGGGTACAAAGGCCACATTCTCTAGAGAGATCTTTGGGGGAAATAATATGGGGAAAAGCAAGCATCACAGGCACTCAGGGAAGAACAGGAAAGGCCAAAAAGACATGGGAATAATAGACATTCCAAGAAAAAAAAAAGGACACAGAAATTCCAATAGCAGGGTTGAGGAAGGAGGTAATTAGAGCAAGAAATCACACATTCTTGTCTCTCCCCACTCACCAACCATTACAGCTGCTGACCGCTGAGCTGGCTCAAAAGGACATTTCCCCCGGCCACTCTCAAGTCTTTCAACCTGCTGGAAACTGGACACATCCTACAGACCAGAAGGGGCAGTTGATTTAGGGGTTATGGGGAAGGAGCATGGTGAGAAGTATATAGATAATCAGATGAAGGAAAACTCACTTTCCACTCATCGCCCATCCCCCTACCATCCCCTTATCATTCAGTCACCTACTTTTGATACCCCCCACCCACTTCTCTTTTCCAGCTCTGCTATCCCTTTCTCATAAGCTTATTCCTTTTTCCTCAATCACCCTAATACCTATCATGCACATTCTCTGAAAGAACATGTAGGGTGGCCCTAGAAAACACTAAGAGATGAAATATAGATCTTTCCTCTGTAATTCTGCTGAATTGTAGTTTGTAACTAGCTACAGAATGTACTATGTGACAAAGAGGACTAGGGAGAAAGCAGTCTCCTGAGGACTGGAGTCCTTTAGAAGGACAAAGAAAAGTGCAGGTCACTAGTGACCAGCTGGAAGCCCCCTGGGGCCTCCTTGTAGACCAACCCCAAGGATGAAAGACATGAGCAAAGATATCCATCCAAGAGAGAAGAGACTCTGCAAGGTCGGTGAAGAATGCCTGAAGCTCAAATGAGAATATAAGTTTAATAGGTAAGTATCTTTCTCTTCCAGAGGCTCTAGAGGGGTGGAGTGACCTGAGTGGGAGGAGAAATATGTAAGAATTCCACTAGAACTATCCAGAAGATACTATAGTCTAGCATCTATCACAAAGAGGCCTCAAGGTATTATCTAAAAATAGAAATCAAGGATGATTTCTGCTTAAGATTGAGAGGATCGGGAGATGGGAAGGGATGGGAAGGAGAAACAAAGGAGGAGGCAACAATACTTGATAAGCAATGTACTCATTGCTCATGTAATTGTAACCCCTCTGTATGGTATTTTTACAATAAAAAAAAAAGATTGAGAGGATCTAGGTTCTAGCCACTAGTCTATGACCAGTTGGAAATCAAAGATATGGTATGGAAATGCCAGACATGCTATCTCTAGCTCAAAAATTGGAATAGACATATTACTTTAATGAGAGGTGGATAAGAAACATAGATTCATATCCTCTGAGCTTAAGTATACTATTTGCTCAGTTATTTTACTGAGACACTCTTTTTTGTTGTTGTTGTTGGTCGTGGGGGTTGAACTCTGGGCCTGGGCGCTGTCCCTCAGCTCTTCAGCTCAAGGCAAGCGCTCTACCACTTGAGCTACAGCGCCACTTCCAGTTTTCTGGTGGTTTATTGGAGATAGGAGTCTCACGGGCTGGCTTTGAACCTCGATCCTCAGATCTCAGCCTCCTGAGTAGCTAGGATTACAGGCATGAGCCACCAGCGCCCTGCCAACTGAGACACTCTTAAAGACGGTCATTAAAATTAGATGTAATCTCACCAAAAAAGGACACAGGGTCAAAAGAGCCTCCTGGAATTGAATATCTCACAGGGCATAAGAATTCTAATTACATGACTGTGGGAGCAATCCTACCGGATGAGAAAGATGATGATTTGATTATTACAGTAGCAAGGGAGTTGGACACTCTGAAAACCCAGTTAATAGTTGCTGTGGTCGCCTTTCTTCTTATCCTTATCTATGGCAATAACCTCTTGGGGGTGGGGAACCTTTCATCTTTATTTTTCCAAGGTCCATTTGGATATTTATAACATCATTCAGAAGCCATACAAAATTATCAATATAAGCAGATGGGCCAGGCATAGGCAACCAACAAGAGCTTACAAGAAGCCCAGTGTCTGTCTCAACACATACCTAATGATTAGTCTTATATAGCCCGAGGGGCTGGATGTTCCCCACCCTGCATGCTGTCTAGCAATTTATTCCCCCCACTGACTAGATCATAGCCTTTTGAACAAAACTGAACAAATGAACAAAAGTGAGCAAATGAACAAAAGGCTCACTATTGCGTAGAGTATAAAATTCTAACCCAAATGACTTACTTTCCACTACTTTTCAAAAAGACCTTCATTCTGCCCCAACTCAATCACAAATTACATTTTCCCATCTCTATGCTGAAAACTGCTCCCTTGTCTTTCACCGAACACGACAAAGCCATGCCTTTTCTAAGTTCATTCTCTTCACTCTTGATGCGCCATTTGACCTTTCTGACTCACTATCTCAAAATGGTCTTCTATTCATTGTCTCTTGAAACTCCATCTTCCTTGTAGTCTCCCCCTATCTCCTTCTTCTCCTTTCTAGCCCTAATATTTGTATCTTATCTATCCATCATCCTATTTCAAATATCTTATTCGTTCTTATATATCCAGCCCTTCTATAAATCATTACCTAAACTCTCTGAGTCTGTTGTCTTCTGCTATATAGCTACATTTTTATTCAACAGCTGGAATTTTTCACAGAGACCGATTATCTACCTGTCCCTTAAAATTCCACATGCCAACTCCCCCCCCCCACCAAAGGTATTACTGTGTCATTTTGCCTCCTGACCTTCAAAAGAGTGAACTTCCCATTCATTACATGTGATTACTGTGGGATCAAAATGACCTTGAAGTGGGGTCTGTAAGTGGCAAGACTTTGCCACTATATTCTCTCTGTGTGTTGAGATTTTTCATTGAATTATGATCATGTTGGTGTGTTAGTTGGCAGTCTCTCAGAATAAGTTGTGGTGAAGAAAAGTCCCTCAAGCTCGAAGTCAGATCAGAAGGCTCTCACTGAACACTGAGGCTGGAAATGGTCCTAGGTCAAGAAAAATAGAATGCATACAAGACCTCTCTCAGATAATAAAGAAAAAGGAAAAGAAAGGTGGTCTCTGGCTTAAATCAAACAGCCATAAAATGTAAGGGCAGACAAACCTAGGCTGAAATTTTGGCTCTGCCTCTGTCTCTGCCTCTGCTGGCTACATAATCTTAAACAATGTTATCTAATTACTCTCTCTCTCTCTTTTTTTTTTTTTTGTCATGGGGTTTGAATTCTGGGCTTGGGCACAGCCCTGCATTCTTCAGCTCAAGGCGAGCGCTCTACTGCTTGAGCTACAGCACCACTTCCAGTTTTCTAGTGGTTTATTAGAGGTAAGAGTCTCACAGACTTTCCTGCCCAGGCTGGCTTTGAACCATGATCCTCAGATCTTAGCCTCCTGAGTAGCTAGGATTACAGGCGTGAGTCACTAGCACCCGGCTTCTAATTTCTCTTAACTTCCGTTTTCTTACTTATAAAATAGGAACAAATAATATTTAAATTATCATGATGTAAATGATAACAACTAAATTTAATCATGAATATAAAATACCTAGTATTAAGAGTGCCACAAACGATATTCCAGCTGAATGGTCATTAATTGTTGTGATCATGGTGGTAGCTAGAAGCCTAACGTTTTTCTGTAATTCCCTCAACAAATTAAATGAAAACATTTTCTTCCAATGTCTCACAAGCTGACACTAAAAAGTAGGACTCCATTGTTGCAGCTGGTAAATCCAGTGCTTGAATTTCCTTTTCTGTAAGAATCTCCACATTTTACTCCGAACAAGCTATACTGTCTGCAGAGCCAAATAAAACAGGTAAGGACAGAAAAGAACATCCAAAAATCTATAAGCAGGCTCTGAATGTAGCTTGAAGAGCCAACATGGCCAACTTTTTTCTCCTAAAAAAAGAGCTTTGGCCCAAGAATGGTCCTTCATTTTATGAGCCTGCAAGATAGGAAAATCCAGAGAAGCTTAACTAGCAGGTATATAGGACACAGAACCTCTTCACTGCAGATGTCCCTCAAGAATGGATAGGGATCTAATGAATAGGTCCAAAATGTTTTCTGTCCAGAAGCACTATCTAACTACCACTAGGTCCCATATCAGTGGACTAAGGAAGGAGATAAAGCCCTAGGAAACTAAGTAGGAATATTCACATTAAAGTCATGGTTCTGATATTCAAATCTAACTGAATCCTTACACCTATGAAGCCTGGATAAATATCACCATTAGCTTGGTGATAACAGGGAAACTAGTCCCTCAACATTACCTTATGGGATATACCTATTTTCAATACTGCCCTGAACTGGGAAACTTCCTAGGAGCCATTCAAATTCTTGTAAGGAGTTCCTCACCCACATTATGGAAAGATTTAACATGAGTACACCTAACCCTAAGGCAGCCTGGAGAGATTGACTGAAGTAATTCAGTGTATACAATTAGAGAATCTTAAATTAAAGATAGGAAGATGGTCTGTAACAAAGAGACATTTGGAGATCCACACTACTAGATCCAGGTAGATGGCTGGCTTACTGCAGTTTGCAAAGGGGTCCAATCTATAGCTAAGGATTAGAATCAATAGGAGAATTGTCATCAGGTGCTGATGGCTCACACCTGTAATATTAGCTGCTTAGGAGGCTGGGATCTGAGGATAACAGTTCAAAATCAGCCTGGCCAGGAAAGTACATGAGACTCTTACCTCTAATTAAGCACCAAAAAGGCCAGAAATGGAGATAAGTAGTAGAGCACTAGCCTTGAGCAATAAAGCTCAAGGATAGTGCCCAGGCACTTGGTTAAAACCCCAGGACTGGCACAAAATGAGGGGGAGGAACTGTCATTCCACTGAACACAGCATGGGAGAAGATTTTTTTGCTCATCCCAGAGCCTAATGACAAATGTGTGCTGCCAGAGGACAATAATTGATGGGGAAAGCTGAAACTTCAAAAAAGGTCATCATCCCCGGGATTACATGGCAATGACTAGAATAGATGTTATTAGGGGAATAAACATCTCCCAAGACTATCTGGGTTTGAGAGTAGTGAAGCCTTGCCTTCAGCAGCAACAACAGCATTTTTTTTAATCTAGAGGAAAATATCATTGACAGGATATCCACCCTGAAAACAAGATCCAGAGCGTGGAGCAGCAATTATCACATTAGTGGGTAGTGACATCAGAAGCCATGAGAGCACAAAGTCACAGCCTATACAGAATGAGGTTAGCAGAGGAGGTAAGGAAAGATGGTAAGATGGTCACATGCTATAAGGAGGAAGAATCAGGCACGGACCCAGACTGTCTGGCCAAAGCATTCACAGGGTAATACAATTTTCTGTCTCTCTTGGATTTGTCCTCTCCTCAACCCAACCAGCATACCTAACTTCCTTTTACCACCCTACTACAATAGGCTCTATACTCTACATATCTCACCTTCTATAGTACCCTCACCATTCTACTCTCCACTGGGGCAGGCAAAGGCTCTTCCTTATGACAACATCCCCTAACCCCAATGCTTATCATGCACAATGGTTGTCTTAACCATGCCCAACATGGTAACTCACAGAAAACCCTTCCATCCTCCTACCCACCACCCCCCAATTAATTCACACTGATGCAGGTCCCCTCTCCCCCTCCTCCTACCCTCTGTCACTCACAATAACCCCGCACTTCGGATCAAAAGCGAAGGTGCCACAAGTGAAGAGGTGAGAGGCATTGGCAATGGCGAGAATCTGGACAAAATTGTGACATTCATCCTGGAGGTTAAAGATGATTAGAATCAGAACCAGCAGGTAGGTACAAGGAAAGGCAAGGTAGGGTCAAGACAGTTAGAGGCAGCTCTGGGATCAAGTATGATGGGTGATAAGCATGGTGTTAAGAATCCCTACCTGGGCTCATTGGATAGGAGCATTACAGGGTACCAAGTCCCAGCTGGGGCAAGGGCTCAATTGGCATTTGGGACAGGGTCCAGGTTCACACCTACCTCTTTCTTGCCTTTCTTCATACAGTCCTGTCTGTGTGACTCAGGTACCATCCAGCCAATCTGGGAGGGGAAAAAAAGGAAACATGGAAGTTTTACCCAGATTCCTTCTACCAAAATTCCCCTGAAGTCAGGGGAAATAAGACAATTTCACAACCGCCAGCAAGCTGTGAATTTCTGAGATAGCTCTAGAGCACTGTTTTTCTAACTAGAAGCTCCCATTCACTAATGAATAATGAAATCAATTGTGTAATCACAAATGTTTTTTAATGAACTAGAATATATCAGAGTGTATTCCATACAGGAAAAGTCAATAGTATTTCAAGAAAAGTTTCTACTAGTACACACTTGTATACAGAATCTGAATAGACCTTTTACAAATGGGTGGTCAAAAACTTCGAAAGCTTGGGCCCTAGAGTATTAAAATTCTAATGATACCTTCTGCCAAGTGTCACTTGAAACTGGTCATTGTGGCCTCTTCCCCATCATCATGAACCTCTCTTCTCAGAGGCTCCCCAGTCAAGGCTCCCCCATCACAATCAGCTGACCCAAAGAAGGAGGTAATCTTCCCCTTCTACCATCATCATTGTTATATCTTTGGTTATTATGAAACTCCCCATCCACTGCCCATAAAACAATAGACCTAATCACATGCCATGGGGTTTAGGATCTGCCACACTCTCATTGCTCACCCTGCGGGGTCTCTCCCCTGAGAAAGGTAGGGATAAAGCGAAGATGGTGTCCCGGGCGCCAATGTAAAGTGTGTGGGAAGCAGGATCCACAAGAAGAACAGTGTAATTGTATATGTGAGGGACAGCAAATCGAGTGAGATAGGAATCCACCTCTGGCAGGAAGACAGGGAGAAAAGGAGAAAATATTATCAGTCATCACTTCATAAAGGTTGGGTCTACCAGCCAAGCTTCTTTTTTTGGCCAAAAATTGGCTAGAAGGGCCAATTTTTGTGCGTTTTCTTCCAAATGCTACTTATGTGGCAACCATTAGGGGGAAAAAGCAGAGCTTTAATGGGTCAACAATATATACATCCCCAGAGATAGAGAGAAAGCCAGAATATTTAGTGCAAAACCCAGGCAATTACACCTTTTCTATAAAAACAGAATGTTTTTTAATAACAGCATAAATATTAAATCTATAATTTCTTTTTTTGGGGGGGCCAGTCCTGGGCCTTGAACTCGACCTGGGCACTGTCCCTAAGCTCCTGTTGCTCAAGGCTAGTACTCTACCACTTGAGCTACAGCACCAGTTCCAGCTTTTTCTGTGATTAATTGGAGATAAGGGTTTCATGGGCTTTCCTGCATAGGGTGGCTTCAAACCACCATCTTCAGATCTCAGCCCCCTGCATAACTAGAATTACAGGTGTGAGCCAACAGCACCCAGCAAGCCTGTAATTTCTATTCATAGCAATGTGGTACATAATTTGAAAATATCTTTAATTTATTTTTTAAGCACTGCTTAATAATAACTTCTTTTTATATAGGTCGTTTCACTGCTTTTTGCTGTTCTTTACTTGGTTTTGTTTGCTGGGGTTGATTTTGCTTTGTTTTGTTTATAAAATACGGTTAGGCTAGCCTAGGACTTTTTTTTTTCCAGTTGTGGGGTTGGAATTCTAGGTCTGGGCACTATCCCTCAGCTTTTCAGCTCAAAGCTCTACCACTTGAACCACAGCTCTACTTCCAACTTTTTGCTGGTTCATTGGAGCTAAAGATTCTCACAGACTTTTCTGCCCAGGTTTGCTTTGAACCATGATCCTCAGATCTCAGCCTCCTGAGTAGCTAGGATTACAGGCATGAGCCACCAGAACCCGGCTGGCCTAGGACTTTTGATCCTCCTGCCTCAGCCTCCAGACTAAAATTACAGGCATTCTGCACTATGCCCAGCAATGTTCAATATGCCCAGCAATGTTCCATTCATTTACCAATACAATAAAGTCTACCTCTTCTCTTACCCAACACCCTCAACCTCCCTCGCTCTATACATATACATACATACACACACACACACACACACACACACACACAAACACACACACACCCCTCATTCCTTTTAAATATAAAGGGTATATAGTGGAAAGAGTTTTTATGTTCCAGAATTTGACCAGTCTGTGTTTAAATGTGGTTCTTCTACTTACCAGCTATGAGATTTTGCCTAAGTCATTCCCCTCTCTGTACATTACCTTCCTCATCTGTAAACACTGCCACTCAGGGTTGTTGGGAGAATTAAGTGAAATAACATACATGAAAGCACCTGACATCATATGTTTCACAAATGATCCCTTTCTTCCTTCCATTTTTCCAAAAATCTTAAGTCACAGATCAGCATTCAAAATATGTCTATTTAAAGATATAGCAAATAATTTGGCATTAATTCACTGTCTCTGGGGACCATACCCATGCAACCAATGCAATTCTGCTTTATTTCTTCTGCTCAGATACCCAGCCAGCCATCAGTCCATTTATGTAAGCCCCACCTACCCCAATCTACCATATCCACACTCAACTCTGTGCTGCTACACCCTTCCATCTCTCTCATGATTAGAGAAGCCCTGGATTGCCCAAACTCCTTTCATATTTCCATCACAGCTTTACCTAGTTATCTAGATCTCTCTAAATTCCTGGACATTAACTCAGCCTGGCAACCTTAACTTACTTTGTGGCTATTTTCCCAGCACAAATTGAAACCCCAGGCTCTGACCACAGCTTTGCCTTTTGGATTCACAGCATCCCTAAATGTCACTGGCTCTAAATTATTACCTAGTTGTGCGTTTTTGCCAACAAGTGTTCTCTTGCCTTCACTGTTGCTGTCTATCACGGGGTTTACACTCAGTACCCACCAAGAAGAAAACAAGGTCATGGCACACTCATATCCACATCAGCAAAGGGTCTAAAGGGTGAATGGCTACTTTTAACCTTTTGACATTTCCTGGCATCTTCCACATCTTTTCAAAAATCATTACAGCTGAACTTCTAATCAACTCATTGAATGGGCTGTCAGCATGCAATGTCCAGAGTGGGCAGAGGGAGCAAGAACTAGTGAGGAAGTTAAAGGGTAGTAGTGAATCTGAGAATGGGCAGATGGAAGCAAGTGCCTGAACTATGAAGGAACTGGGAAATGGACAAGGAAGGTTAGGTCTGTGGGCAAGGTAACAGGGTTGGATAAGAGGTTGAAGGCTTGAACTGACCATAGATGACAGAAATTCTGGGTTCTAGGGAACCCAGGTGGGCAGAATAAGAAATAAATAAAAAATAAAAATGAGAGGTTTAGAAGTAAAAATGGGCTTTAGTGAATTCCTGGATATGTACAGAGGTGTAGGGAAATGAGGCAGAAAGGACTTGGAAATAGACAATCTAGAAAGCCCCCATGCCTTTCCTGGGCTTCCAAATCCGAAGGATCTGAAGGCTCTGAAAATCAGGTGCTGCAGAAGCAATCTGGGTGTGCCGTGGATGCTGAGGATCGAGGCCCAGGGTGAGGATGGAATAAAGCAGCACGGAGTAGGGGGTCTCCTCCGGGTCCCGGCGGGGCGTGGGCACCGCAGCACACCCAGCGCGCTGCACAGAGGACCCCCGGGTTAGGAAGGTAGCGGCGGGCGGAACCTGGACCTGGCGCGAATCGCTGAGGGCGAGGGCTGCCAACCTTACCGGAGCTGGGAAGCGAGGTCCTGGGCACCGAGCGGGGTACGTGGCCGGACACCGGGCCTCTCAGCACCGCTGCAAGCAGCAGCAGCGGGAAGGGCCAGACCCGAGGCGGCCCGGGGCCCGGGCGGGGCCGCGCGTGACGGGCCAGCATCTTTGGCTCCGCCTGGCTGCCGGGTGGGGCGCGTCCAGCCACCTCGGCCCTGGGCCCAGGCGCCGCTGGCTACAACCCCACTCACATCCCCACGGTGGCGGCTCGGCCTGCAAAGGCTGGATGAAACCACCCAGGCTCCGCCCCCTAAAGAAAGGACCACTATGGACTAGCTTCTTCCCCTAGCCAATCGGGATTGAGGAGAGGCGGGACGAGAGAGAGGCCTGACCCATGCGGAGGCGGAGCTACATCCAGGTGTAGGGAGACATTTCTGCCCCGGAAGTGGGCGGCAAGAGAAGGGCAGGGAATTTGCTCTGCCCTCAAACTCAAATGTCTGTACCTATATTAGTAGAGAAAAGAGGTATCTCCATTAGTGGATAAATGAGTACACACCAAATTTCTCAGAAACATTATGCCAGGCGAGCTATGTCAGAAACAGGTGGACTGGACACGCTAGTGTTGTTCCACAAGGTCAGAATTTATTGAGTAACAAGAAATTCCCAAGCTATGTCAATTTTGTTGGCTTTAATACGAGAAATACTACGAATTTCACCTGGTAGCAATTGGCAATCACAGGGTCTCTCAGTCCAATCTTAACTAATATGTTATTAATGTATAACAACATATGTGTTTGTTACAGAAGGGCTAAGAAAGGAAGAAAGAGGATGCAGAGTTCAGAGAGCTATGGGAGAGGCACAGGCAGAGAGCTGATAGGAAGGCAAGGAAAAGTCCCTGTAGGAAATCATACAAGTTTGGCACTTAATGTACAGTTGACAAATGCAGAGCAGTTGAGTGTCATCAGTTCTAAGTGAGTTTTGTGCCATGGGTAGGAGAAACTGGAGTCTCCAACATGGGGAGCTGGAGGATGAGAACAGAGACAGGTTCTTCACAGTGGCAATTTTCTCTGTTTTTCCTTTTTTTTTTTTTTTTGTCAGTCATGGGGCTTGAACTTTGGGCCTGAACGCTGTCTCTCAGCTCTTCAGCTCAAGGCTAGCGCTCTACCACTTGAGCCACTGCAAGTGGCCATTTTCTTCACTGTGGCTTATGCTGATAGCATTAATGTACCTGTCACATACTCACTTAAGGAGAATGCTTTTGGTGTGATAGAGCTTGTGTGTCTGGTGTTTATGATATAACTTGATATATTTACAGGTAAAATTATTTGTTGACACAAATAAATGATCAGTTTGTGCCTCATGGTATGCTGGCAGATGGTGGTTGCTCACTCTTATAAGCAAAATGTAGTGTCATTCCATCTTGGCACTTATACTTAAAATTGAATGACTTAGTTCAAAACTATTGCTTAATAAAATGGAGCATTAGACAGGCACAAGTAACTCATGCCTGTAATCATAGCTACTCAAGAGGCTGAGATCTAAGGATTGTATTTCAAAGTCATCCAGAGCAGCAAAGTCCTTAAGACTTTCCAATTAACTACTAAAAAGCCAGAGTGGTGCTGTGGTTCAAATAATAGAGTCTAGCCTTAAACGAAAAAAGCTAAGGGTCAGTTCCCAAGTCCTGAGTTCAAGCTCCAGTGCTGTCTCACACAGTGTGTGTGTGTGTGTGTGTGTGTGTGTGTGCGCGCGCGCACCTTTACTGTGACATATAACAAAGTCTTCTGTCTGAGAGTGTTTTTTCTTACTAGCACAACATCTGGTTTGTTTATCTATTTGAGCTGGAGTATTGCTTGTAGCCCAGTCTGGCCTTGAACTCAGGATCCTCCTGCCTCCACATTCTGCGTTATGGTATTAAAAGTCTGCACCATTATACCTAGCTCAGAATTAGGTTTTGAGTTTTTGGGGAGTTTTGTTTGTTTACTAGCTTGCTTGGTGTTTTCCAGTCCTAGAGCATTTTGAATTATGGGCCTACACACTGTCCCCCAACTGTCCCTGAGGCTAGTGCTCAACTACTTGAGCTACAGCTCCACTTCCAACTTTTTTTCCCACTTTAATAGGAGATAACTGTGTGTGTGTGTGTGTGTGTGTGTGTGTGTGTGTGTGAAGAAAAAAATCAAGGGAAGAAATGATTTTCTTGTTTTTATCAATATGTTTTAAGAACAGAAGGACCAAACACCATTCTTAATTTTTTAAGATTGACATCTTGAAATTCAGATGAAGCCAGCTAATTTCAGATTTTTATATATTCACTGCTTAAGAACAGTTATGTAAAAACAGCTTTCTTTTAATAGTACTTATTTTCCTTCTATTATGAACTATTTTGTGCTTAGAAAAATATAAAGGAGGGTCTGGAAATGTGGCCTAGTGGTAGAGTGCTTGCCTAACATACATGAAGCCCTGGGTTCAATTTCTCAGTACCACATAAACAGAAAAAGCCAGAATTGGCACTGTGGCTCAAGTGGTAGAGTGCTAGCTTTGAGCAAAAGAAACTCAAGGACAGTGCCCAGGCCCTGAATTCAAGCCCCAGGACAGGGAAGAGAGGGAGGGAGGGAGAAAAAGAGAGAGGGAGAGAGAGAGAGGGGGAAGAGAGGGAGAGAGGAAGGAAGGAAAGAAGGACAGAAGGAAGGAAAAGACATATATTACTGTATAACTTAATAGAACACTTATAAATACTGTTGAGTGTGATGGTGTGCATCTGTAATCCTTGTGCAGGAGGATCATGAGTTCTAGGCCAGCCTAGGAAACATAGGGAGACCCTGTCTCCACAACAACAAAATACCACTCATGTTCTCAGTCTCCTTTCCCAAACTTATCTTTTTACTTCTCCTGTATTGAACTATCTACTCTTTAGTAATATTTTGAATTTTGTATAGATGAAATAGTATGATTTATTCTTTTGAAAACTGAGTTTTTCACTATTTTAGATTTTTTAGCTATATAGGGGTGTATATAGTTTTAGCTTATCACTATGAAGTATTCTAGTATCTATTCTGTGGATAAGGTAATGCTGTGCTATTATGAACAGTAATAAGATATAATACCTATAAGTATAAGGTATAATACATAGTTTTAGTATGGATTACAGGAAGCAATGCCCATAAAATGCTTAGGAGAATGTGTTACATACACTCAATAACTGGAAACTACTATTATATTCTAGCAAGAATTGATAGAGCTATCATATGAATTTATAGGATGATGAAAAGTTCCCTTGAAAACTAGTCTTCAGTGACATAGTTTACTATTTGGCTTATCTCAATTTTGGGGGTTCGGTCTATTCAGGTTTAAATTCATGGCCTTGTGCTTGCTTATCTTGCTTGTTTGGCTGGAGATCTACCACTTGAACCATGGTTCCAGCCCTGAATTTTGCTGATTATTTACTTTTACTGTTTTTGATTATTATCATTATCTTTAAATAGTTGTACAAAAGGGTTTTACTTTAATATGTCTACTTATATATACAATTTATCACCCCTTCCATTATTCTCCCTCCTCCTACCATCTTGCTAGTTATTTTGAATTGGTATGGTTATTTAGAAACAGCCTATAATTTCTTAAATAAAATCCAACACCTAGAGAGTTATTGATGAAGTGAGTTAAAGCTTTGGGGATGGAATGAATTCATTTTGCATGTAAGAAAAACTGAATTCTGGGGGCCAGGGGAAGAATGCTATGGCCTAAATGCTTATTTTCTCCAAAATTCATATGCTAAAGTCTAATCCCCCCAAATTATGAAATTTGGAGATGGTAGCTTTACAAGGTGATTGGGTCACGAAGGTGGGTCCCTTATGAGACTCCAGAGAGCTATCTAGTCCCTTCCACATGTAGGGACATGGAGAAAAGGCATCATCTGTGAACCAGAGAACCAGGCCCTCCCCAGACAGAAAATCTGCCAGTGTTTTGATCAGCAACTTAAGATTCAGAGCTGTAATACACTTTTGCTCATTAGAACAGTACAAACATATTGAGACAGTCATCGTATCTTAGTCTGTTGTAGTATATAACAGCCCTTTATTTCTTCCCTATTTTTCATGACTTTGGCGGTCTTGAGAAGTATTTGTTAGATATTTTGTAGGTAATACCTACATTCAGGTTTTCTTGTGATTATACTGGGGTTTCAGATTTGAGGAAAGAAACCACAAAGATGAGTGTCACTCTTCCGTCATATAGGAAATATGATATGATATCTACAAGTCATCCTTAGTGATATCAGACTTAGCTAATAGGATAGTGTTTGCCAGTTTTCTCCTCTGTGAAGTTGCTGGGAAAACAGACCGTGATGTAAGTCTGACTCTAAGAAGAAAATGAAGGAAGAATCCTTGACAGTGGAGGTACAGCAAAGTTGCTGAGGAATTACAGAGTCAGAGCACCCATCTTTGTGTCTCCCTGGTACAGATCTGCCATTGTCTCCCTACCATACTCAGTCACTGGTTGAGAGCACCCTATAAGAAAAGCAGCCCCCACCCTACCCAGTAAACATGGAAGTGGATTTCTAAGCAGCTGATGCCTTGTTGCAAGGCATTTCTTCATTGTCACTTTCAAAGAATAATTCTTCATGGAAAAATGTCACAGTCTCCCATACCTGACACAGGACTTTGTATATGCTTAAAAAATTCTACTTTATATTAATGGACCAACTAATGGGCGGTTCAAAAAGAAATGTATTAGGGGAGGGGAGGCAGTGCCAACAGGGCCTCAAATCATCCACATCCATCCCCAAATTTCCCCTTCATCTCAACCCAAGTGAAGCCTAGTTGATTCAGGGCCAAATCTTGCCTAACAGTGTTTAAGTCCATGTTAACAATGGTTAAGGGGCTGGGAAGGTGGCTCAGTGGTAGAGCGCTTGCCTTGCATGCATGAGGCCCTGGGTTCGATTCCTCAGCACCATATAACCAGAAAAAAAAAAGCCGGAAGTGGCCTTATGGCTCAAGTTGTAGAGTGCTAGCCTTGAGCTGAAGAGCTGAGGGACAGCGCCCAGGCCCAGAGTTCAGGCCCATGACCAGACCCCCCCCCCAAAAAAAAACAATGGTTAATAGGGTTAATAGGTAAGAAGTCAGAGTTTCACACTCCAAAAAGAAGAAAAAAAAGGAAGCAATATGTGGTAGCTGGGAACAATAGGTAGTAATTTTTTTTTGGGGGGGTCCAGTTGTGGGGCCTGAACTCTGGGCCTGGGCGCTGTCCCTCA